GGGAAGCTGTTACTAAAGGCGGTGCAAGGGGAATGGAGGCTTTGTGGAAACTGAGCTGTGTGTCACTGCCTGCTACCAGCAGAAGGAACCAGGAGCTGATTTCAGCACACTAGCTGTGGGGTGCTTGTTTGGGGGCAGTTTGGGGTCAGAGGCATTTAACGAATACCCAGCTGCTAGACTTCAGTTTTGCACTTATTTTACTCATGATCTTTGCTTTCCTGTTTGATCTTAGGTCTCACTTAAATCTCTGTTTTATTAACTGTGTCAGGAATTGTAGCTGGGAAGAAGAAGGGTAAAACTGATGGACTTAGGACTCTGTGAAAGAAAAAAAGGCAGTGATGGACACATGTACCTCCAACCTGAGATAAGTCATTGATGCCAGGAGTTGTCATTGGTTTGCTAGCTGGATGGTGCTAAGGATTGGGAAGTGGGGGCTGCTACTGTTCAACACTGAGTTTGGGAAGGAATCATCTCAGGCATAAATCAGGGTCTCAAATGAAACGATGATGCTCTGATTTCAGGCAAACTCGAACCCATCAGGTCTCCAGCCAAAGAATTGGGAATGGTATGTACATACCATGTGTAGTACATCAAGTCTTTCATATCTCTACTAGTATAGCATGTTTAGGCCTTGGGTCTCTCTGCAACCATGGTTTGCATCATGGGCAGGAGGAGCATCAATGGCAGATAAACACAAGCTGAAAACATGTGCAAACACCTCTCTTGAAGATGAGAGTTGGGATGTGACTGGCTTTGTCCTTGGAGCAGGCTCTCTGTACCTTGTGCTCTTTCCTGATTTGTGTTTACCCACCTGTGTTGTAAGCCTGAAATATTAACAAATACAGTCGCAACAGGAAAAGCCTGTTAGAGTATGGAGGTTTAATCATCTGTGAACGCTGCTTGGAGACACTGGGTCTGAAAGATTTGATCTCCTGCTCTTTCCTTGCTTTCTAATGTGAGCTTCCAGCAAGGGAAGGAGGGTGAGTTGCTCACTTGCACTCTCCTCTCTGTTCTTCATTCATCCTATTTTTGAAGCATCTTAAGTGAGCCATGCCCCTGCACCAGCATCTACTTCCACTGAAAAGTGTGAGCCAGCAGATGCTTCTGTTTAGTGCTGGCTGTCCAAGCAAACCTGAAGAGTTTGCTCTGAACCTCTTATATGTCATCTACTGTGTGTAGGCATTTCCTAACCCTGCAGTATCCTCCATGGACAATAGATAAGGAGGAGGCCAACCTTTGCAAGCCGTGAGCAACACACTGAAGTCGCTGTGGCCAAGAGCTCCCTGTTACATGTGAGGTACCTGGGCGGCAGGAGGGGGACAGGAAACACGCACGGGGAGAGATGACAGCTGCCCTCTGCATATCCCACCTTGTCAGCGCAGGATAGAGCAGCTGAGTGGGCAGTTGGACTTCTGGGTGCCCAGCAATGCTGACTTGAAGCAGTCCTTGCCAGCTTGCCCTCTTCTCATGGTGGGAGGGTACCTAGTAAGCTTGGATCCATCACCAACAGTACAATTCCCCAGCCACATCCAAACATTTTGAGAGCTGCACACGAGACAGAAACCCAGAGATCAGCAAGTTCTCTGATACGGGACAAATTCACCAGGGGCTCTTACATGTTCCCTTCATGGTTCCCACACATAACTCCTCACGTACATGAGGAGTTAAAGTACACATAACGTGTGTGCGTTCATGCAGCGAGCAAAAGATGCTTCCTGGCACTCCAACTGGCTCCCTCCAACCACAGCCCAGCCCAGTCTAACGCTCAAACAAAAGCCAAGGCTGGCATGAAAAAAGGTTTTCAAAGAAAACAGACCAACCCAGCCATTTCAGACAAGAGGCTATAATAAATTGCAAGTTGGCAGAACTCCTGGCATTTCTAACCGAGTGCCTTGTATTTACAGCAGGGCTCTTCTCTCTGCTAGCCATGTCCTAGGGTTTTTAATTTTCAAAATGTTTTGCTGGTCCCTCCCAATTCCTAAAGAGCCAGATTCTAAAGGGGCCCTGGGATAGTAGGAGGTAAAGATTCAATAGCATTTGAAAGCACTGGGGCAGTGCTACAACACAGGCCTTATCAAGCCCCAGACTGAATCCTGCTGCAGTCAGGGCACTTGTCCTGGCACAGGCCCCTAGCTGATGGGGTGCAGCCTGATGCACCATACCCACCTGTGCAATGGCTATATTCAGCAAAAAGGCAGAAATTAGTGAGAAAATAAACCTTTAAGAAAGGTTTACAGTTTGGACCCAAGCTCTTTAGCTTATATTTAGTAACTTCCTGTTTATTTTAGCATACTCAGTCAGAAACTGAATTCATGACATGGAAATGGCGTTACGTCTGATTGTATTTGAATTGCCTGTGGTTGGCATCCTCTTCTAATTGCCTTTGAAGACGTCAGTCAGTCACAGCACATTTGTCATGCTTCCTTCTTGCCTTTCATCACACCTCTGTATGTTTGAGTTGTTCTTGGGAAGCTTCAGGCAGGCATTTTACAAACTAAAAGCTATGCTAACAAAAAATAAATAAAGTATCCTACCCTTGCAAACAATTACACTGCTTTATTTTTCAGTATCACAATCTCAGGAAATGAAACAGTTCAGATTCTTTCCAAGACATTTTACAGCTTTCTTTCCCATCTCTCTGGCCATGAAATAATCAAACATAAGTTGTTGATTCGCTACATCTATTAAATTGGAAGAACATAATTATTAGTGCAAGAAGCTAAGCTCCGGAAAGCAAGGGTGGAACAAAGTGCCGTTTTCTCCTGCTCCTGTGTAACCAACAGAAGTGTAGCATCCGGCAGGAGCACACGCTGAGCAAGCCTCCGACTCACCGCATGGAGAAGGACCCAGTTCAATGCTCCCAGAAAAGCACACACAGGGACAGAAAGATGCGGTGGATAACAAAAGACAATGGTTTATTGAACAAGATGGGGCAAGGCAATGTTCTCTTTACATTCAATGAATTCAGGAATATGAAGCAAAACATGCTAAACACACACGGGCATGATACTTTGGTTAAATGTCATTCAGAAGTTCTATGCCAAACCTGATAAAATTATAGTGAACAGTCAAAAATAAGGAGAAAAAAAAAGGCTTGCATAGATATGTTATTGTCAGCACGCAATTTGCAATTAAGGATTAGCTGTTGCAACACAGGGTAAACTTGCAGCTCGGAGGAATTTAAATCATTTGACTAATCCATCTTATCCTATGGCTAATATTTAGATTCAACAGGCTGAAGGTTTACCCTAAAGAGCTAAGTTAGACAACTGCAGTTATTTCTCCGAGGAAGTTAACAATATTGCAGTGCACAGATGCAGCTGGAGACACACTGTGGCGTCTACTTAGAGCGAACACTGATACAGTGAAATTTGTTTACCGCGAAGTAGAAAATATTCATTTGTGTGTGCCAGTGTCCTCTCCTAGGAAGAGTCCAAGCTGCACGGCCTAAGCCTTGCCTTGTGCTACCCAAGGGGGAGGAGACGGCAGCTGGTGAAATTTCCAGCCCAGAGGCTGAGGGCAGTGTGATTTCCCAACAAAATCTGCACACTGCAGCCTGCCCTAGGCCCAGCAGTCCAAGTGGCACTTGCACGCAGCACAGCGAGAGCCTGCCCAGTGGTATATTTTATGCGAGGGGCACCGCTGTGCCACAGTGCTATCCCCTACCTGTCTGCCAAAGCAGTTGCAAAACTAAGCATTCAGCATCTTGAGAGACTTGCCTGACTCCTGGGGAAGGAAATAGAGCAGAGTAAACCTCAAAATCACCCCAAACTGGAATTTCTGCTGCAGCAGCCTCCCCTGGCACAACTGCTGCAAGCAGGATAGCAAAGAGGCCAGCTTGCTCGCTCGTGCCTTAGTCCATGCCTGTGAGCTGTGCTTTGGTGGTTCCTGTTACATCCGCACACTACCTTGCAGCGTCAGCATGCTGCGCAGACCAGCAGCAGGGATCTGCTTTGCATGGCAGATACCCAGGGGAATATTCGGTGTAAGAAGAGTTGTGTTTTACGGCCTGGCTGCGCTGGATTACAAGAGTGTAAACTAAGCAGGGGATCCTCACACTGTCTCTGAAGAGCTCCCCTTATATATAAATTAGCAATCCACAATTAGTTTGCAGATAGGTTAACATGAATTAAAATAAAACCCTTGATAATAAAAATATATATAATATACACATCGATCAATAGCAATAAACTGAATTTCCTAAAAAAAAAAAAAAAGTAACAGTGACTGTAATTTGGCACAAGATAAAAACTTACAAAGGTCTAGCACTGTAAAAAAAAAAAAAAAAAAAAAAAAAAAAAAAAGATGTTTTTTCCCCCTAAATGAATGTTTTTAATTCAGATTCTAATCCTGACAGGTAGAAATACAGAGATATAAAAATACTGTACATACAAGATCCCTTTTACAGAAGAAAGCAGACTGCAGCATTTGTAACTTCTATCCCTCCTCCCCATGGGAGGAATCCAATGATAAGACTTAATCTAACCATTAACAACTGATATTTTCCCTTCTCCCTCTAAATTCAAATCCATAAAGTTCTTCAGAAACCATGAGATTAACCTGCTGGATCTATTGCCATGACTGACAACTGCTTCTTGCTTCAGGAAGCTGTACGGTCCACATTTTAAGACAGTGTTTCATAGCAAGGTGACTCAGATCAGACTATACCGGAGACATCGAGTATCCCCGCACATAAGGCACGATCACTCGGCTCGCCTGCCCTCTCCTCTGCGGGCCATTGTGCTTTGGATGGAGGTGAAGAGGTGGAGGAGCTCTTGCTGGTGAGATGTGCCTACCATGGAGGTCAGGAAGTTACAAGATTTCATGGTGATGGACTTTTCATGCAGCTATTGTTGACTTATTAATGTGCACAGTAAGCAAGGGATGCAGAGTCCAGCCGCGGCTTTGACCTACTGTTAAATCCAGGGCAAAAGTATAGGCAAAGCTACTGAAACTTAGCAAGAGATGACAAAAGAAATGAAATTATTTGAGTACTTTTCCTGTCATGGAAACAAAATATTGCTCCTTTTAAAATAACAACGTGCAGCTTTCCAGGGACACACATGCAAGGTGCTGGTTTTGCATCTGGCCTGTGCCACTGCATCTCCCTGACTTCAGCAAAGCTGCGGCTGCTGAGCCCCAAGGTGAATGGGGTCCTCGCTGAACCACAATCTTAACTCAACTCTTGTTGACTTCAGTGGGGCCATAGGAGGGGCCAAAAGTGGCTGCTAAACATGCAGGCCCAGTTGTAATGTTTGCCGGGGAAAGTCTATAGCCCGCTGACTGCATGAGGCCCCAGAGGAACAGCTGCTTTATTTGTACTCTATTTATTACATGCTTTCCTCAGCTGTTGATTTTACAGTTTCTCTCTGTAGGTATAGGTGTCAGTTCCCTTCTACCATAACCTCAGGGCCTCATTCTTGAGAAAGACTACAGAAAAAATAAAATGAGGAGAAAAATTTACAAGTGATAGCAAATAACAAAGTCAGGGAATAAGAATAAAAAATTAGGGGCAAGGGGCCGGGGGACATAGAGATGAGCAGCCCCCAAAACAATCAGCCCTTCCTGAAGGCATCCCAAGGGAGCAGCAGCTGCTCCTGGGATCCTTCCCTTGAGCTTCCTCTTCTTGATGCCATGGGCAGACAGCTTGACAGGCCAGGAAGAAGCTCATAAGGAGACCCTGCAGCATTGCAGTCCAGGCTTTGGGATGGTCTTTGGACTTTCACCAGCTTCCAAACAAGCCAACCAGAACGCGCTCTCTCACCACCTAGCCCCCACTCCCTCCCCATTGCAGTCAACAACTTGGGCACTCCCGAGCATCCTTCCTGGATTAATAGGTTCTTCGGATGTCGGCAAGCTCAGCGCCTTTATGACTTCTCTGATTAGGATAAGACAGAAGTTACAGCAGCCAACTGCAATGCAAGAAAACCCGTCAGTCGCTACAGAAGCCCAGAGAGGGCTGAATTCCTAGCTGCTGACTTCTCCTTGCCTTGCACCCAGAGCCACCATTTTTCCCCATGCACAGCAAGTACAAAGCACAACCACTTTCTAATTTGGCAGGATTTTTCCCCATCCAGTTTTCACTAGTGCACCAGATGATACAAGCAGCAGGGCCTGGGCTGGGTATTTGTAGAAGTATCAGTACATAAATCCCAACTGGAGATCCATTTCACAACAATAAATACAGTCTGATGGAATGCAAGGGACGAAGAAACCCACCAAAAAAATTCCCAGCATTTTCAGCAGTAAAAATTTTGACTGTTGCATGAAATATAAAAATAAACATTTATAAAATAAAAATCATTGCAACTGAGGTGGCCACACTGGCCCAAGTTATCAAATAAAAATATACGGTCTACGTTGTTTTTTTTCCTGTTCCTTTGAAACAACGTTAACACTTCTGAATGGACAGAGATGGAAAAAGAAGAGGGCACAAGGCAAGGGCAGTAAAATCTAGCCACAGGCTGGGATATTTCCTGAGAAGAAGCAGCAAGCAAGCAAGCGAGAGCTTGCAAGTCACTTAAGGGTTGATGCAGATGAGCAGGCTCATGGTCTGGAAGCAAGGGCATGCAACTAATGGGATGCTGCTGATGCACAAGGTCCTATTTTGCTACATTTTTGGCTAGTGCATGCCTGGAGCAACACTCTATCAGAGGACTAGCTAGTACTTTGCAGGTAGGGAACTGGTAGTAACATCCCAGTTGGTGCAGGAAGTGGAAGTTTTTCCCTTGTGTTATGGTGAGGCACAGGCTTTTGCTGTAATACTAGACATGCCCTTGCAACTTACGTGAAAAATAAGTTATCTTGTCTTCCTAGCGATTTGTCTCACAGTAACTTTCTGAACAACAGCTAAAGTTAAAGCCTTCCCGCTGCCTTGGGACTTGAATTGTGAATTAATGCAAGAGAAGGGAAACGTGAGCTCTTCCAGTTTCCTGCTAGTGCTGCAGGCCAGCATTTTCTTTCCACGAAGCTCTGCAGAGCTGGCAGGCTCCTCTTTCCCAGGCAGAAGGGCAGGTTGGTGATGGGGTGAGTAAAGTCACAGCTCTGACCCCACTCATCAAAGCCAGCAGCAAGTTAAGAACAAAGAGCATGATGGAGCCAACTTGGTGAGAGGCAATAAGGAAGCTGGGATGCAGCAACACCATGACCAGGCTCTGCTACTGTGAACCAGACTGCCAAAGTGAGTAACTAGCCATTACTGGCTATAGACTCCAAACCTTTGTCTCTCTGATCAGCTTTGCAGATTAAAATGCACTTGGAAAAAAACAAATGGCAAAAAAAATTTTTTTTTGCCAAACGACAAAAGATTTAGAATGAAAGGAGGCTAAGTGAAAAGTCTGCCTGATTGTGTAAGAGTAGAATGATTTTCATAAAGTAGAGGGGGAAAAAATGTATATGTATCAGTGCATGGCCAAATTTGTGCAGATAACTTAAAGCTGCCTGCACAACTATGCCCCAAAGAGCAATCACTTCATCCAGACTGGAGTCTGGCTGGCGTACTGGATGGAGCAATGTGGAGGGGAGGCAGGTAGCACAGACGTTTTGTTGACTGGTTTGGACTCAAGTGTATAGCTCTGAGTTGCCTGTTACTGTGGGTTTTGGATTCAATGTCCGAATGGTCCTCTTTCGGTCCCGTGTTTCCAAGATACATTCAGGTTTAGACATAAGTTACAGGGCTCAATGCATCAGCAACTGAACAAGGAATAACAGTAGACCCTGCTCAGCCTTAATGAAATTGCTTGGCTTGCATCATGCTAAAGTTCAAAACAGGTGACCACAGAGGTCCTTTCAGACATTTAAATCAATATATGCGATTCTTCCCAATCCACAACTCACAGCTTCGTCAACTCACTGGAGCCCTTTAGAAGTCATGCACATAAGGTCTAATTTCAGTTTAAATTGTCTTTCCTCTCAACCATCCTATCCAACATCCTTGAGCTGAATGTCTGGTTGCATGCTCTACCCGTAGAGAATTTAGGAGTGCTTGTTGGAAACCCTGGAAAGAACCATAGCAGTTAAGAAATTTTGTTCCATAGGCAAATTCCTCCTCATCAGTCTCAAGTTCTAGCTTTTGCTGGTGTACATTGTGAAGACTCTCTCCTTCCTGTAAGCTAATATGTCTCTCTCTTGGATTGGCTCTGCTTTCTTACCCAGCACAGAGAGAAACACATGTTCCCTCTTACAGTTCTCTGCACTAAGTCATCCTAATATAGTAAGGACTTGTATTTCAGATGTTCTGCTGCGTTGCCATAACTCAGCTCACATCTTGTATTATCCTTCTGGTTGTATATGCATCTCTATTTGCCCAAGCTCCAGCCAAGTTTAAAAAATAAAAAGAAAAGCTTCAAAGGAGTTTAAAAAAAAAGAGAGAGAGCGAGCGAGCTGTTAAATTAGCTAGTTGATTCACACAGCTCAGTAGCGGCTAGATTGTACTGCACTGCTTAAGTGATCGCATATGAGTAAGAAATTGAAATGAACAAATGTTCCATATTAATATGATGACAGAGAGGAGATCCTGGGGATGGAGGGTGGACCTCCCGTTGGGTAAGGAATCAAGAAAGTTGCCTGGCAATTCCAGTAATGTTTGCTACAGAACAGTCAGTACCAAAGCAAAGGCTAGCAGTTTACTGCTTCCTACGGGAACCTGGAAAGCAAAACAGAAAGGAAAAAAGAATCAGTAGGGTAGATCCTAGTGAAGGAAATACTACCTGCAGAAATCTTACTTGTCCTGCCCCCTTGGATGTCTGCGTAACTTTAGGATGCTGGAGAAGTCAAATGCCAAAGCGGCAACTGTACATAACATTACTGAAGCAAATGGAAGGATAGGTCAATAAGACAGGCAAGCTCTTGCATTTCTTCCAGTGAATGTGAATGGCATGACAGTCACTTTCCACAGTCTCACTAAAGAGAATGGAAGGAACACTGGGATTATAAACTATACAAAGTGCCATCAACTTTCCAGCTCGTTTGATGAAGACGAAACACAAAAGGCTTACCAAACTTTACATTCTGTAAAATAAACTCCACATTTAAGTTATAACCAGTGGAGTCAGACAAAATCTGGGAAAGTCAAACACTGGCTGCACCTTTCTCCCTCCATAGAGGCAAGAGAATTCAAACAGTTAGCTTTTAGATTTCTAAAAATCAGGCAAACAACAAAACCAAAAAATATAGCCCCCACCCACACTGCTCTGGGGCCAGAGTTTTCAGGATACCAGCCAACAGAATAGCGCTGAGATGCTACAGGAACAAAACAAGCCTGATCTCAGGACAAGCTTCTGTCTAGTCATCCAGCAGCCAGACAGGTGATCCTGTGAGGGTTTTCTGTCTTGTATTGCATTGCTTCATATGGTGACTCACCTTAGAACTATCATGTCATTGTTTTCATGTTATTTCTCTTTCATTTGCTGCCTGGATTTACAGTTATTCATCATTAAGAGATCATATAGGGCAAGCCAGAGCAGTTTGACATGGCAAGTTAATTCAGTTTTTTATTCTCTCAGCCAGCAACGTGCTCAATAAGTACAGCTTGAACACTGAACAGCATCACATGCCTGTTGGGGCAATATATTCGTTCCTCCTCTCTACTAGCACCCCTTATCTAAAGGTCCTGTCCTTCAGGCTGGTTATTTGAGGAAAATAGCACCCAGTAACCCAAGTGCTGGGGCAACTGTGGGTTCAATCCTACCTTTAGGAGAATGCTCAGGTTTGGGAAACTGGCGCGAGGGGCTAGGCTGGCCTGTGCAATAACGTGTACGTTCCAAGTCATCAGGGAGAGGCTGTGACCTGCCAAGCACAAGAAAAAAAATGTAGGGATGGGGAAAACAAATGCACAAACAAAAAAAAATACACACACGAAAAGCACAACAGCATGGCCAAAGCAATACCTTGGCTGCCTGTTCTGTCCCTGTTGGCTTGGTGCAAACTGGTGTCTCGCCCTGGCTTTCCACCTGCAGACCAGCTCCTCTGAGCCGAGCTGGTCAACATGTGTACAGTGAGAAATGCCCAGTATTCACTACTTCTCATGGTCTGCTTTCATTTAATAACAGTTTTAAGTTGTCAGGAAACAAAACATTCCCATTATGAAATTTAATGCAAATCTCAGCCAAAAGGAACAAGGAATATTTCAAAGTACTTAGTATGTGCCTGGTTTTAACCCCAGAGCATTTAAATGAGATCCCTCTCGGTCTCCACCTGCACACCCTGCTTGTTGCCTCTTTTGTTAGCTAAGCAAAAAATTCTAGGCTCATCTTAGGATTGGAAACCAAAAACACTAGGGTCACCTCCAGGATTCAGTCCCACCAGGCCAGGACACTGACTGACTCAGAAGAAGCGCTATACTACAACACGTTCCCCTCAGCTCTGGAAGGAGATACCCCACAAGCATGATGCACTTGCTTGCAGCAGGGTCTCTGCATGGAGCAGTTGGAACAGCATATAAAGCTTAGCTGGGGACACAAGGGAACAATCGTGCAACCGCATCATGGTTCCTCCTTCTTACCCAGCGATGACATTTGGTTTCACATACCCAGAAGTTCTTCAATCCTCTTGATGCTTCTCTGCCATTTAACAAATGTCACTGCACAAGCTCATCAATTTCTGTCAGTGCCAGGCAGGGAGACTGAGACGGCCAGATGCCACAAGCACAGCGAATGACGCACGTCATCGAACACCTCACAGGCTCTGTGCCCTCCATACCTCTTCAGTGCTAAAACCTCCACTCTCCGCCAAGCCCCTTGTGGATCAGGCTGGTCTCCTCACAGCTACAGCCCAGGGCTCAGCCTCCGAGCAGCCTCTTGAGTGCGTTTCCCCAGTTTTATTGGCCATGTGTTTAGCTCACCGTAAAGACTTGTCGCCTTTGTGTCGCTGAGGCCCTTCTTTTGACTTTGAGCGCGTCGACTCACTTGCATCATACTGATGGGGAGAAGAAGGGAAAGCAGCTCACCAATAGGCTGTCCTTATGCCTTGCAAGACACTAGCCACTGTGTTGAGGCTTGCACAGCTCCGCACAGTCCTTCTGTGCTCAGTTCACACACACAACTAACTACAGCCAGATATGCGCAAATGGCACGATCTAGTCCAGTTTCCAATACCTTAAACTCAGACTTGAGAGCTTGTTCTAAATATAAGGCAGAACTGGGGGATCCATTCCTAACCTGGGGTCAAATGCAGAAAAATCGTTGTGTAATTACCGTACTCACGGTTTGGCAGAGCACAAGGCTGCGCTCAGCTGTGCCCCTGCAACTGGTTTAACAAAATAAGGCAGCTAAAAACATCAGAGCTATCTCCATCTGGCACTGAGATTAACACAACACCCTCTTTAGTACCTTGACTATTGCTTCATTTGTGAGGCCTCCTGAAGCTTGACATACCTTCCAGTCTTGATCATGCCTCTTCTTTTCAAAGGAAGACTTTTCTCGTTCCTTCCCTTTCTTGAAAGCTTTCTTCTCCTCATCCATCAAGAGACGGGCTATTTCCTGGAAGAAAAAACACAGAGCACATGTCAGAGGATTTTTTAGGATTGTACTGCTCTTCTGGGTTTGAGCAGTTTAAGCCCTTTCCAAATACATTTTAGCAGAGCACCATTGTTAGAGGCCTAAAGCATCTTATACTGGGTCCTCTATAACATTCAAGGTCCTTGGAACCCCATAAGGGGCAGCTGCTGAATGTGATGGCTGCAAAGTCATAAAAGTTAGGATTTCACCTGAGCCTATGCTTAGAAATCAAGTGACACAGCAGAAATGAGACTGGCTACATGCTCAGTGGATCCCTGATTTGCCTTGTTTGCATGTGCAGAGACTTTCAACTCCATTTCTTTTCCTCCAGTGTGGTGTTTACCTTTCAGCACATCTCATAGTCCCCCATGGGATTTGGTTACAAGAGCCACTCTTACACAGTCATGAACCTCCCTGATCTGCCATGGCCGCAATAGGCAGTGAAATTCCCTGCTCAGCCAGCCTGAAAGCATGCAAACCAGCTAGGAACAAACTCCAGGAGAGCCCTGAGCTTCTCATGCAAGGAGAGGTGAACAGCTAGAGCATCACAGGTGCTGTTTAGTAGTTTCTACAAATAGAGGAATAGTGTGAACGTTTGCGTTCTTACTCACCTCATCTTGGGCTACTTGAGCTGCCTTGAGATCCATGTGGTTGGCCTAAAAAACAAACAAACAAGAAAACAAGAAAATACAGAAGAAATAGCTACAACTCTGAATAAATCCAATCCATCAACCTATTGGGCAAGGCAGGCAGGTTCTCATACATCTGTGCTACCATCTTCTCCAAATACATTAAACTAGCTCAACAGTTACCTCACAGCCCAATATTAAACTGGCATTTCAGCTTCTCAGCTGAATTTTGCCCTCACCTTTCTGCCAGGTCACACCACAATGCATTGCCCACCCTGCTGCCCTCTCTCCTATCAAAGGTTCACGCTGGCCTGTCTCACTTCTGGGCTGACCACACTGACTATATGCCATCTTAACCTGCATGGAAATGTTCAATTAATGTCACTTACTTCGATCACTTAATATTCAGTCAGGTATGCCTGGATTTGTGTTAAGCAGACTACAAAAAAATAGAGCTCTACTGGGCAGAAGCCACCTCTCACTCCACATGTGTGTATAGGAGAGGAAGATGACCACCATAGCACAGAGGAGCAAGGCCTGACTTTTAAAAAAAGTCACCATCATACGTAAAAGGTTTGCAAAAGGAAATTGTCACTACTGGGAACGCTGGTTCTTCCAAGCTGATTAATGTACAGTCTTTACTTACCAGAAGCTCTTCCTCTTGCAGTTTCCGAGCAATCTCTTCATCAGACAATTCCTGTTCCCTTTGAGGTTTGTCATAAACAGCTTGCTTTGCCCCCCTTGACTTAGTTCCTACAAAATTAGGAGAAAGAACAATCAACTCACTCATTTCCAAAAATGCTTCTGAAAGGAAATCCCCACCATGCCCTCAGCGTTGACTCCTCAGCCACCTGCAAAACCCCGCGCGAGGGGACCAGAAAGCATGGCAGAGTCCCTGCCAGACAGATACTTTGACAGGATCTTTAGCTGGAGTGGAATATGTGTCTTGGAATAAGCTTTTCCTATGTGCATAGTCACACAGTTTCCGACATAACAAACGCCACTACGTGGCAGGAGAAGCTACGCTTGTTGCCACGGTTTTTGCCTGCACAGTGATGTTAGCAAAGAAACTAGATTTTCCACGTTCTGGACCGATATAGATATGCTGGCAAAACTCAGCAGCGGAGAGCAGCCTAACACACGTTATGAACACAGTAGATTCTTAAAACACTTCTCTGGAATAATATGGTGCTGCAAAAGTTGCCTGGGACAGACTCATGCAAGACTTCTGAGAATTTCTTCTTTTGGGGTGACCCATGAATTTTGCAATTCACAGTGAGAAAACAGACAAGTAAAAATGTTTGAAGTTCACACATAAGGTTCAGTTTTTGCTTTGAGCAGAGAGTTTTATTTATCTGTTTATTTTAAATTTAAACCATATCCAAATGATCAAAAATGTTCCATTTTAAGAGCCTCTCCATAGTCTATTTGCAATAGGGCATCAAAGGAGTCTTACTGTATCCCTGTTATAAAATGCATGGCTTCATTCACACACAATGAATGCTTTCTCTTTCCATCTGCAGTCTGAACTGTATTTTTTGGTAATCTCAGACATCTAAATGAGCTTTCTGTTTTTTTATCTGTGGCATACAAATACTGTATGGGTGTCTGTCTGTTGCTCTTCCACATCAAAGTCATAAGATAAGTTTCACTCAAAACTTTCACGTCTCTGGTTACACTGTTTGTGTATTTATTATAAATAGATGTTGCACGTTACTGGGCCACATACCAGATTCTTTCTGATCAGGCAAGACCAAGGGAAAAAAGAAGCAACCAACTAACCTCTAAAAACTTTCTGTACATCTATCAACAAACCACTGTCACACTCTACCAAGTATCCCCGTGACTCCAAACTATACAGGATCGGAGACCGCATGCGTCAACCTGGAATAAAAATCTAGGAAGAGGAGCTACATTCTCTTCAGATATAAGGAAGGTGTGTAGTTTTTTGTTTTTATTTAAATCAAAGACAACCAACTGAACATCTTAAGCAAGTAACACCCCTCTTACAAACCATCTTAGCACAAAAAGAGAAACAACTTCACTTCTGGCATGTTATAGCCAAGTGTATGGCCTGGCCTTTCCCAGAACAATTTGATCAGTCCAAAATGTGAAGAGCTGCAATCTCAGGCCAGTGCAAAAACTCTGGCAAAAACTACCATCTAGAGCAGAGTTATATCATTCAGACTATATCCAAGGTCATGGTAAATGTAGTTTTACCATGCTGGAATAAATGCAAGCTTGCTGACAAGCTCCCATACACTATTGCCTCCATGAAGGATAAAACTGAATTTCCAGGAACTGCTTGCTGGAGAGCTAGGCTCCAACCAAGATTAAGCTTTCTTTACACATTAATTGGTACCAGTCTTGATTTGCTCAGAAGAAAATGATAAACGTTATTTCCATTTTGCTTCTGCCCACACTCAGGGAAGGACAAACCTAGTCATGATTACAGCCCGCAGGAAGAGGATGTGAGCTTCTGTTTCAGCGTCTTAGCTATTTTAACTCAATATGTGTGCAATAGGATGCTGAGTCACTCAGAGTCCACACTGTATCCGTGCAAGTCAGGACCTATTGATTTTATGAAGATCTGATCAACACCTTCTACATGCCAAAAACAAGCTTTTGCATTACAAACACAAAAAATAATTCTCATGGCATCTCCAGAGATAGACACGTATTATCACCTCCACCTTTCCAAGAGAAGAGCAGACAGATGGTTTGACATCAGTTTCCCACCCTGTGACAGAGTTAGAGAGGTCCAGATCTCTAAAACTTCTACTCTCACTTTCTAAGAGATAGGTCACCCCCATTCCCATTGTTATTTTAGAAGCAGAAAGGTGTATCTGGATTTTTAAAGCCCCAAGTATTATTAAACAACAAAATCCACATCAGTGTGTGCTTTCTAGCAAAATCCATCTCTTTCAGAACTTCATAAGAACTCAATCTTCCAGATGTCTCCAGTTTGGACATCTAATTCCACCACAGAATGTTCCCCAACAAGAATTGCTTAGGTTTTCAACAGGAAATGAATGGGAGGAGCTGGCTTGTTGTGCTTAAGCAAACTGTCCTTATTTAACAGCCCTGCAACCCAAATCAATGACATAGAAGGGTATAGCCAAAATACTTGTTCCTGTGCAAGGGGAGCACAGCCCTCACCAGATCATAAAAGTAAAAGATGGTTTTCCACAGGATGCCAAGACCACAGTTTCTCACAATACCGTCTTACTCTTCTTCTTTGATGCTACAGGACGTATCAGGAAATAAACAGAGTGAGAGTCTTAATGAATAAAGAGAATCACAGTAAGTAAGGTAGAAACCCAGGCAGGATTCACTGTGTACAGACAGCAGACAGATAATGGAGATTTTCTCTCTTCAGAGAAAAACAAAAACAAAAAACACAAGTTTCAAACAGCAGGATGGGGCAAGCAAGGCATCTTCCCCACACGTATGTTCACTTCTCCCATTACATTGTTACCTGAGTCCTGTTGGCAGTCTCCAGTCCTTCCCTGGGTCACCATGTGTGGAGAGGGGGAAGGTTTTCTCCTGTGTCCTGCTCTTTTGCAATCTCTCTCCTCACCCCTTCTGTGATCTTCTCTGGACTCAGAGTCATGGAGCCTCCTGTCGTGGGCTGTCCTAGGCAATGAGCGGCCCTGATAGCGGGGTTTATGGTGGTCTGGGTGCAACAGCTGGCTGCCACCATGATGCCAGGTTTCCTGCTCAGCTTCCAGCTCCATATCAAGAAGGGGAAGGTGCTTTTCTCTGTCTTGCCTTGATGGCTTTTTGTCATGTCGTACCTGGTTTGTGAGTTCATGCTTTGACTCCAGATTAAGACTGAGAGGCCTCCAAGCCTTCTTTCTGTTGGCTGCCTTCCTCTCCCATGGCTCCCAGCTATCATTGTGGTCAAGGTCAGCACGTTCAGCCCCTCTTTCCAGGTCCAGGCTGGGAGGTCTCTGGGACCCCCCCCGGCTGGCCAATGTCCACTCCTGCCACTCTCTGTCATGCTGATGGCTGCTCCCGGCCTTGTGCGGTTGAGGAGAGCGGCGAGGATCCTCTGAGGGGTGACGCCTGCATTCAGAGGCATTGTCAGGTAAAGGTGAGGGCACTTTCTGGTGCTCTCTCCGCTGGTGCATGTGCCTCTCCCCACTGTGGTGTCTGCGAGGCTCAGAAACCTGCTCTCTAGAGTCACCCCGCAGATGTGCTGAGCAACAGAGGGGGGACAAACAAGGGAGGTGGTTAGTGACACATGGGGTTAATTACAACTAAATGAGGCAGGTCCCACAGCATGCAGAGGAGGGAGTTTGATGCAAGAAAGCTGGAAACGTAGGTAGAAGTGAGGAATGCCAGCATGGTGGGATTAGAAGGAAAAAAAATGAGGGGCAAGCAGGCAGTAGATGCTCACAGAATATAACGGAGGACAGGGTGAAAGAGCAGCATGACTAGCACAAGTGCAGGCAAGGGATGGAGCTGCACACGGGCCCCGGGGCTGGAGCAGAAGGCACAGATGCATCAAGAAACTATATCCAACCACCTCTAAGGTGAGATCAAGCCAGTAGTGAGATTAAGGGCTTTTATTGATGCAACTGGGGTGGAAAAACGGACAGCAGAGCAACCCATCTCTTGGAGACATGGCATTTCCTCGGGATGCTAGGAGGTTTGCAAAGGAGGGCACAAAATGGAGATGAGGTCAGGAGCTAGCAAAGAAGCGTAAGGAAGAATAATTCCGGCCAGAAGGGTCTAAGCAGAAGGTCAGGCTGAATCCTAGTTTATAAGAACTGGTGCCTTGCCTTGGCTTTAGCCACAAGATGTTTCATCAGAAATATCAGCCTCTCCTGAGCACAGGACATGACAACGCACATAATGACAATCCCATTCCACCACTTTTATGAGATCATGGATTACTGCAGCATATAAATACAAACTATCACCTATCTTTTGCAGGCCCAGAAGCTTCAGGGCCCATACTTACTCATTGCATAAACAGAGGTTTAGACTTTGACTGTAGAGAGGTGGCTAGAGAAACTTAAGGGCAGGATAAAACTGGACAAAAACTGAACTCCTAACTTCAGCAATGTAGGTGGAATAGCTGCTAACTAGGCAGTTTGGCCAAGCTGTTTCCTCTGTGCTTTCCAAAAAGCAAGTGGGAATTTTCTTTGCTTTTATTTTCAGTAGTAAAATGGACACAACTGTGAGAATGCAGCAGTCTGTCTTTACCCAATCTGCTAACCAATTTGTTCTCTAGTCAATGCATTTCCTAGAGAAAAATCATTGCGCAGAGTGAAATATTATGTCTACAGTAGCTTTTCAGAGTGAAGACACATTTCTGAAGAAAAAATTTCCCTGAAGCAGAGGCCGATTTGAAACAGAACTATACAAAAACAAGCAGAGTAAGTTCCTTCTCCACTTCTAAGTTTTTTGTAGTATTTAAAAATATTCAAAAGAGATTTCACTGCACATGGATTGCATTCTGTCTTAGGAAAGTCAGAGCTATTTATTACAATCATCCAGATTTTGGAATGAAAGGAAAAAAACCCACAACAGAACAACCCCCCAAACCCTTAATGTTCCTTTCAAATTATACTATTAACAAAACCCTTCCCAGAAGCTACAGAAAATCCATCTCAAAACAAATCTGTGCAACTTTTATCCAGAACGGGTGTATTTTTAAAAAGCTAGGTTACTCGTTGTAAGAGTAACCACAGCAGTTCCTGTGAGCGGTGGGTTTTGCTGTTCAGTTTTAGATCACTAGCATGATTTACTTTCTTTATTTGTTATAAACAGCAAATAAAAGTCTGGGTGACTTACTGAACAAGCGCTAGAGACTGAAGGCAAGAATCAGTTTCTGAATGATACCCACATGCGTCTATAACTCAGCATCTTTGAGAATTAGCTCAATTTTGTCATTAAGAAAAGCTCAATGAACAGAGCGACAGAGGAGGAGATCATGAGAAAGTGAAGCATGGCTTGGAACACAAGACTATGTTCGGAAAGGATCAGTGCAGATAACACAATCATGCCAGGCGGTTTGAGCGGGAAATTTGCTTTTGGTGAATCTCAGGGTGAATAAGCTTCCAGGCAGGTGCCAGTTCCTGTGGCACCTTCTGCAGGGGCAGTTCAAACACTCCTTAGGTCCTGATGTTACTCTCTCAAGCAGCATGTGACTGGGCGAGTACAGAAATATTTTTCATGGTACAGATACTTCTGTGAGGAACTCTGCCTTCCTTCACATCCGTTTTCCCCCTTTTTAAAAATTGTGATAGCTCTGGAGCAATAGCCCTAATCCACACTCCTTCTGGATGTGGGTAAATTTGTATCCAGTATAAAGATAGAAAAAAAAAAAAAAAAACAGCAAATAAAGCAAGGGCTTTGTATGTTTAAGTTCAAATGTAAAGAAGATGATACAAACCAAGGATGCTAGAGCTTCATTGAACGGTGCCTAAGTACTTAAGAGGTTCCAGATCAATGTATCAGATGGTCTGGGCATCAAAATTCACTGCAATTTTTTCTAATTTTTAAGGAATGAGAATCAAAAGCAAAACCACTATGAATAGTCAAGCAAAAAAACTTTCTACTTCACCTCCTACACCATATATTATTGCAGGAAGAAAACTTAAACCCATGACATACCCTGCTCTCCAAATCCACCCTACAGTCTAATTTCAGGTCATAAGCTTTTGTCAGTTTTTCCTTTAATAATATCCACCCTATCCTCCCATCTCTGCACAGCAAGACTTCTTCTTATATAGTACTCTTTTCCAGGGATTTGCTCCACTTAATTCTGAAAATTAGGACGACGGATAGCCTTAAGGTTCCCGGATTTGTGTCTTTCCCAGCTTTATACGTGTAGCAGAACTTGTGGCCTTGTTCCTACCTAGGTACTGTTTTGCACTTTGTGCTATTGGTTCTCTTGGCTATCCTTGCACTTCCTCACAGTTGAGTCTAAACTATTTTGTGTGCCAGTTCAGATAAAACTATTTAAAATCACCAATGGTATTGATGTTAAAGAAAAAAAGGAGAGATTTGGTCCCCATTGTGACAGTCTATTAACTAAGAACAGCCTGTTTCTTCCCCATCACGTATTTCCTGAAGAAAGAACATAAGAACCACCACCAGCAAAAAGCAAAGCAATCCCCAGATTGCTCCACAATTAAATACACCCTGATTGTCTTTTCCCAATTTAAAAAAGCCTACATTAGATCATAAAAGCCTCCCAAGAGAAAGCAATACAGCCCCGTGAGTCATATCTTTTCCACAACATACAGTCCTAGATGATAATCACAGTGAAGACATCCTGTGGAAATGACCTTGTTATTCAGTAAGTCATTCAAAGCGATTGTGCTAATTTTAGTTCTTAGATACATACCTGCAAGGGATTATTTTTGAAAGGCTGTCCCATGAACCAGAATTTATTCCTTTATGCACTTACCAGTGCCAGCATCACAGATGAGCACCCAGAACCATTTCTCTTCAAATGCAAGTGTGGAATCATCCTGCATTTCTCCTCTGCACACTTGTAATATTATGCAGTAATAACTGTGGCTTATATACTATCTTTTTCCACAAGCCCCTTCAAAACATGTATGTGTGCACGTGCATACACATGCACAGACCGGATCTCTATCCTTTAGGCCACCTTTTAGAGCCTTAAAAAAATATATATAAAATTCTTTCCCTCTCCCCATCCCCCATCTTCTTAATTCTAGAATAAAGTCTAATCCTGACCCCTGGAAACTGCTGTTATAGGGCTGAGCATAGGACTGTAGGATAATGTCCCAAAATGAGATGCCAGATCAAGGTTCACCTGATCTTCACCCTTCATCTAGAGGAACTTACCTCCATTCTCTGAATAATAACTGTCTTCATAGACAGTGTGCCCCTGGGATTCTGGGTAGTGCTTTTTGCGCTTTTTTTCTTCCTGCAGCTCCTTTTGTTGTAGGAGACGGGCAATGTCCTACAGAGATAGAGAAAAACAGTCATTACCTTTCTCAGAAAGACATCTCCAGTTTATTTTATTCAAATATACATGTAAAAATTCTGATAGGTTAACTTTCCAGACTTGGCCATGACACAGTTACTTGCCCCTTGCACAGGAGAGCTGCCCAAGATCTGCATAAATTCACAATCCTTTTTTCTTGTATCTTGTCCTATGTTCTTGGCCTTTCATCGCAGTGTCTTTCCCTTTCATCACATGTAAGCAGATTGTTTTTGTTGCTGAACATCCGTTCTTCATGCTTCCATATGAAAGCATTCCTAGACCTGCTCATCCTATCATCACTACCAGTTTTTGGGCTTCATATGATTACCGTTCCTCATAGTATCTGGTTGCCTTCTGCATAAAAGCAGTGACTTCTTTTTAAGGAGAAGTTCTGGTAAGATGTTCTGCTCATCATCAGCGCTATCCCACATCCCATGCGTAGGAGGCCTGTAGCTTTCATTGTTTTATATCTGTGCAAAATGTCGCTACCAGGACACAGCGCCAGTGTAGCTAAGGCACCTCAGTAAAGATCTGGAAGTGTGAATTCAAGTCCTTCGTGGAGGGTGCTTCCAGCTTAGCCACTGATGCAAGGGGCCAGCTCAGCAACCAGTATCTGACCTCACCAAGGTCCACCTCTGAACTTTGAACCATGTAGCAGACTTGCAGGTTCCTATTCCAAAACCTGCTCCACCACGTTCCTATTCCACCTATACAAGAGTCCGGAAAACCTCAATGACCAAAGATGGACGAAGGTTCTGCATGTACAAACATGGGCTTTCAGAAAGGTTTTGGAAGTTGTACAAGTGTGCTCATACAAGTGGTGTACCAAACCTCCCTCTCAAACTCCACTAGCCATAAAACAAATAAAAAGATAAAGATTGTTTCAAGCTGAGGGCTCTTCTGACTAAACAGAGTTCCCAGAACAAGTCATGAACTTGCTTCAAACGGGGTATAATTTACAGGGGCTGTAAGATGCCAACAGGGAAATGCATCAGTTTGACAGATGAAGGTTGGAGTGAAAGAAAATCAAATGGGAAGAAAGGAGCAACACACAATGCAGGAGTGCTGCAATGACTGTAGGCTGTTTATCTTCTGTCGCAGCTTTGGCAGATATACCGTCAAAGAGAATAGCACTCCATTTTCCTAATTGGTTTTCCTTTGAGATGATTAATGGTTCAGTGAGGCCTACCAATAGTAAATAGCTCCTTGGGGCTTGTTTATTTGGGGATCCAGAAGGTCATGAGTCAGAAGAGCTGTTTTGGAGCTAGGAAGAGAAGCCAGAAGATATTAGCAAGGCAAGCTAACTCTTAGGATTTTATTCATTTAAGCCTCCCTAACCCTGAGCTGGCCAAAACTGTCAGATGTGGAAGATATAAGTTTAGTTGCTCTGATCTAAACCATACCTGAATACACCAAAAAAAAAAAAAAAAAAAAAAACAGCAAAGGTGAATTTTAGCTATTTGATTCCTGAGACCACTGATGGACATGGCTAGAAAGCAGTTTTTGCAGGGACCCATACCTTATCAAACATATTTGGGAAACTTCCAAAAGCAGCCACTTTGGCCCAGCTGTGGTACAATGGAAGCATGTTTCATTAGACTTACAGCTGAGGCCTGAAGACCCCTCCTGAGAGCACGGCTGGACCAGGCAACAGAAACAGGGAGGAGCCTGGTTCAGAAGTAGGAGGTTAGGAGATCCAAGGAAGCAGGGTAAATACATTGCCTTGTCTCTCCCATCCCAGGCCACCTTGTCAAAGTACCAGTCCAGCTTCAAAGACCAAGTTCTCCCTGCACTCCCTTCCTCCCTACCACAGACGGTAGACTCCCCCCAACCCACTGTTTCTAGTCTTCCTTTAAGCCCCTAGGTGAGTTTGTAACGGAGACTGAGCCCACTTGGTAGACTAACGTCTTTATACATCCTCAAAGCAGAGGAAAAACATTCTATGGAGGGCAAGGCAGCCACTCTTCTCTGTGCTCTGAATTTGCCTTGGCAGACAGAGTGATGAGAGCCTCTACAGAGCTGTACATGTAAAGTGAATGTTGCAGGTATGAAAGACATCAGTGAAATGCAAAGTCAGAGCCAACACCCTCCAAAAGCAAAGCCAACATTGACGGACTTTGGAAGGGTGTTTAAATATAAACTTATTTCAGGATTCAGATCAGACTTAAATGGTAACTAGCCTTATGAAGGACCTGGGGACAACACTGGCTCTAAAATAAACAAACAAACAAACAAAAATCCCTTACCCTGGCTAAGTTAGCCTCTTCTAACACATACAGTGAATCTATAAACATATGAACTTAAGCACATTATCTCCAGGACTGGAACAGTTCAGGACTTGCAAATCCACATAAGCCATTTCTTACAAAGCGGACTTCTAGGCAGATAGGCTTAGTGCTTCATTTAAAAATCCTCTGCCCCAGACTGCAGATCTGCCCGAAGCACAGCACTGTCACAACACTGCTAGCCACTACTGATTTCAGGGAGTTATTAAATACGCTGGGTAAATACTACACTCTCGTGTGCAATAAGACTAGTCTGGCACGTGTCCCGTACCTGAGTAATACAGAGTGACCTGCAAGTTATGTGTACAGATGATGTGCCAAGGGCTACAAGAGTGGCTCTGATGGGGTCCCCACTCCCCACAGCGCTGCCCTGTGCGGGGGTGTTTGTCAGCAGGTGCTTGCCTTTCTCAGGCTTTGCATCAGCACAGGAGCCCATCCAAAAGAAATAAGGCTAGCTGGGACCCTGGAAGGTTATCTCATCTTTGCCTCAGGGAAGCAGCATTGATTCAATCTCTCCAAAAGTCCCATTTCAAAGGTAGGCAGTATCATCATACATTGGTTCTCAGCTACAGCCTAATCCAGTGCACAGCTAAATTTCAACCGCACTTGAGAATTTCCCATACACCAGCAGGAAGAGAAAGCTTATTAATGGCTTCTCCTTATTGCTGTGAGTCACATTCATTTAAAGACTGTCCCCATACAGCAAAGGCTGTCAGCACGCTGGTTTGACAGGCTGCAGGGACCTGTTCTCAGACTGCTGACATCCCAGAAGTTCTCCAATGTAAGTAGAAAGGAAAGGTGCAATTGCCACAGCCAGCATGAGTGCTATTGCATCCCCTTTACCTTCCTGACAAAAATCAGACAGATGGTCACATTTAGAGCACAAATCCTTTAGCCAGAGTGCTTCTGAGTTTTTTCCACTCCTTACCATGAGCTTCTCTCGTGAGCCCATTTACCTTTCCATGTCTTCTTAGACAGCTTTTGAGTACTCGTTTGGGCTTTATGGCACAAGAGGAAAGAAAGGTCTTACACAAGCCTCTGTCAATTAAGGACAGGTCCTTATTTCAGGTTCTTCCAGGACACACAGCCTTGTGTTCAAGCTCTTCCAATAGGACAAATGCTACCAGGTGCCTCTTAAGCGTTTTAGAGTAGCCGGACTTCTTAGGGAATCATTGTAATCAGAAATGGGGCCATACTTCAGGTTCTCAAATTTCTGTATCTCTCTTGAATACAAAATACAAAAACGATCAACAAATCAAATCTTTTGAAGGCCATAAACAACCCACACTGACCACTCTCAGGCAGTAGCAATAGAGCCATATTCTGCAACTGCAGAAGGAATCTGCTAGCAAGAGACTGCGCCTGAGTGTTCACACTCTGAAAAACTAACCTGAAGATGAAGGAAGGCAATGAAGAAGCTGGGGGTAGATGGTGGGCTGAGGGTCCTGCTGCAGTCTTCACACCAAGGACCATAGCAATCACAGCCCAGAACTGTCTCGAAAACAGTACATGTCTTCTTGCATATGAGAAAAAGTTCTCAGACTGCAGAAGCAATAATTTTCCTACACCAGGACTTTGAGCACCTCAATAAAACCCACTTATTGCTTGGCCTCCTTGTTAGCAAGGCCCCTGGCATCCACAGCCCTCCTGGTCCTTAACTGTGAGGACTACGACTGCAACAGGGCTCCTTGTATCACTACTGTGTGAGCAGCAAGGATCAGGCTTAACATCACACAAACCTGTGGCTAATGACTAGGAGATGTCTGCACTGGAACGGTCACTACAAATAGCCCTGCCATCCATACAGCTTTAAAGGTTACCTCATCTTTTTCCTCTTGCCTGCGTCGCTGCTCTGCTTCAAATACTAGCTTCACTTGGATTTCCTGAGCCATCTCGCAGTCCTGTCGTTCTCTAGAAGGCAAGAGGACGAGAGTTATATACAGCTGAAGTCAAACATCAGTCGGCCTGGAGATAGGGATAAAAAAGAGTGACAGAATCTATCTGATTTACACACAAGAGTTATTACTCAGTAGTACTGTGGAGCCTATGAACCCTAACCCAGCGCAGGACTCCCTGTGCTTATTGCTGGGCAAATACAGAAAAGATGCATCCCAAAACATTCACAATTGAAGCATAAAGCAAGAGAAAGCAGTTTAATAGAGAGTTTATTAGAAGAGGAGACTGGAGCAATAAGATTTGGCAGGCCAAGATAACGTGCAGCAGTCTCTGCAAGCAGCCTACTTATGCTGAAAGGTTTTTGTATACGTAGTGCCAAAGGAGGAGTTTGAGGGAAGGTTAATATAGCTGTTTCTGGGCAGTGGTTTTCACAGGAAAGCCAGGAAGGAGAAAGTGCAGACATGCTTATGGGAAAACACAGTAAGTAGGCCAAGCGGAGGCTGGAGGTGGCAGCTTAGTAATGAATGAGAGATCCTGCTGAGGTTCAATGAGGTAGAGAAAGCAGAACCAGTGCAAAGAGGCAAGAGAGTGACATAAGTCGAAATGAGGAACAAGGAAGCTATCACAGCGATGCCATCGTCGATGCAGGAGCAATGCACAACTGCATTAATTTGGAATGGAAAAAGAAATATCAGAGTAATTAAGACATGAAATGAAAATTTCAGCAGTGTGGGTAGACAGGTAAGGCTATATTTCAGAAACATTATGCAAAAAGCATCCGCAAGAACTGTGCAGTGCTCAGCTGGGTGCTCTGAGGGACAGTGTTCTCACTGAGGCCCAGCAAACAGGCCTGAATGATCAGCAGGAGTTACCGGCTGGTTGGAGCACCAGTTCTTGGCTTGAGCTGGAAGCAAGGCACAAACGACCTGGTAAACTTGGAGGCAAAGGACTGGGAGGGAGTATGGGACAGAAGTGGAGGAAATGAAGACAGCAAAGGCAGAGAAGCATTTTCTGCAGTGAAACAGAGAGAAATGGCATTGCTGGAGAGGTCAGTAGCACAACAGGGGCCTCTTGTTTGGTAGGAAGTAAAGAAGAATGACAGAAGCGGAAGGAGTGAATAGGTACAAGGCTGGGGCAGGGGAGAAGGTCATTGCAGCAAGAAGAGCGTTTAGAAAAGAAATGCCACCTGGGAACATCTAATCTGTTAGAAAGATAGAAAAGGACATGGAGCAGGATGGAAAGGAAGGTTCTTTACTTCCATTAACTGCTTATTAGAATCAAACCTGCAGTTAGGTACTGCATGCTATTTATATCCCCTTCCTCAGCCCCAAACATACATGAATCTTAAGTCAGTATCAAAACATGACATTTTCTTCCTGTTTCCAGACTACCAGGCTTCTAAACATTTATGCATTTCCATTTACTGACCCAAGTACAGAGCCCTCACCTTGAAGGAGCTCATGAATTTCAGTGTTTGTAGGGTTGGAGCTATCAATAGGTCAAATAGCTTCAGATATCAGTTTCTCCTATCCAGTTAACAAAAGCTACAATCAAGCAAAATACAAAAATTTGCCAGGCAGAGACCTGTTTCAAGTTCAAAGACATACAAAACTCTTATGGCAGCAGATCTGCCGTACAAAAAGAGATCTTGGCAAACCTGGTACAAGCAGGGAATCACAGTCCCAAGCAAAACTCAATAGTTGAATATACAAGCCCTGGGGAATGGACTGTCAGTGTGCCTAAAATATTGGATCCCTTATGACTGCAGTCTCAGAGGACATGAATCCAGGTAGAAAATAACTTAGAAAGGTCAGACACAAAGTGCTGCAAGTCTCCATTTCCTCTTGGCACTTGTGAGCAGAGCTAACAGGCTAAGTTCACCACCACCAACTGTCTTGCAAAGTGTTTAAAATACATCTTACTGCAGACAAATAAGATTCTGAAACAGCTACTCATATTTCATAGCCAAGGCAACAAGGTCATCACTTCTCCATGCACAGCAAAGAACAGTAGAAGTAACTCAACAGCAGAAGCATTTTCTTGTTTCTGATGACATGCACCTTGGAATACACCGTATCAAGCTCTTTCAAAACCACTGAACAGCAGAGGATTATGTTTTGGGGGATTTTTTGTTGTGCAGCAGGTAATTAAATACTGAGACTGGATTAGTCATTTAACATAGCCTCGTCTTTCAACTAGACTGAGCATAAGTAAAAAAGTTAAAGAGCTTTTACAGCTCTTCTTGTCCTTTAGTTTCCTTAATGTGAACTCAAAGTTCCTACCAGCCCCCAGAAATCACCCAGAGCAATATAAATGTCACTATCTCTAAACATCACACCTGCGTGTCCTTCTTTCCTGGGTAGCCAGGAGTGCTGGAGTGTCAGGGAAACTCTACGTCAGTCTAGTATTAAAAAAGAAATAAAGAGAAGAAAGAAAAAAGAAAAAAAGTAATGTGATTGGAAAGCTCCCACTCATGTTGGCTCTGGTAAATAATTGTTGCCAGATGTGGAGAAAAAAATAAACGGGTTTAATGGATTTGTTCAAAGGAGCTGCTTACATTAGTGCAACAGAGTCATCATAGCACTGAGAGGAAAACAAGGAAAGAGCATACTTTCATGCTATTTCAAATAGTAATTTTAGCATCCTTGGTGCTACTACGCCTGGCAGTGTGCAAGCTGCTCAACTAGATGTGAGAGAGACTTTTACAGAAGCATGAAAACAAAGTTTAGTGCTTCCCAGAATTCTGAAAAAGAGGGGGAAAAATTCATCTTTTCATTTATCTTCCCAAATTCATTCTTTCTTAGAGAATCTAGGATTTATAAGACAAGAAATTTGAAAATAAACATACACCCTCACAACCACAAATGCAATTCCCCACACCCAGCCCCTGAGTTTGGAGAGTTTTTATGATCCCCATTTCTAAAGGGAGCACCCTGTTCTGCTTCTGTATTTCTCCATTGCCTTCTAGTGTCAAGTTGTTCTAGACAACACAGTAAGCAATAACTGTGAGGATCATTTTGTTGCCAGAACACACTGATCTTCCACAAGGAAGAGACAGTAGAAATTTACAGAGAATTAAGGAAGAAAAAGATCCAGTTACAAAAGGATGTCTCCAACTTTTTATTGCTCTTGCAGAGGAGCTCCTGCTTTCGGGAGTGGAACTGCTGCTGACACAATGCTTTGCATCAGCAGTTCTGCCTGTAATTCGGTTCACGAAGTTAGCAAATCCCTTTTACAAAGTCCTACAGCAGGAAAATTGGTTCCAGTTCCTAGCAAAAAGGGATTGTCTCTGTATTTCCAAATGAATTTTAATGTTGTTATGTACATGCTCACACGGCTAAATGGTAACAAAGACAGAGCCAGTGAAATGAAGCACAAACTTCAAAGATGCATGTGTCTTCCTAGTGCTGTCTGACTGTGCTAGCAACGTGGAAAACAGTGGCTGATTTGTATCATCCCAGGCTTCAAATCCTTTTCAAGTAGTTCCTTTGAAGTGAGCCCTGTAGCTCACACATCTGCAATACAGAGTTCTGCTCCATTGCCATATGTGCCAGACAAAGCACCCTCGATCCATTGGCAGTACCTGGTGGGTGGCATTACAGAGCAGCAGATCAGCCGGGATGCAGCGCAGCAGCCAGGAGAGGTGTGCCTGCCTTCTAGGCCCTACATCTGCCAGGATCGTGTTAGAGGACAAGCATCTCTCTCTCTCTTTGCTTGTGACCTGACAGAGCCTTGCCTCCTAACCCACTTGTGAAATTTCACTCATTGCAAGAGATTGAGGGAGACACAAAAAGCAAGAAAAGAATCAAAGTCATCTTTTGATGGGGAAGCCCAGTTGGGGTTTCCCTGCCTCATTATGTTTCATTTTAAGAGTCACAGTATGCAGAAAGCCAAAATGTGAGCCAGAGGATTAGAGCCAGCTTGAGGCCTTGAGTAAACTTGTGCAGCTGTGCAAACTGGAGCACTTATTAAGGATCCTCCCACAGCTGCTGCTGAAGCCTGTGCCTGCAGGAGAAGGCCTGTCCCCAGCAGCCATCTCCCCACCTCCATCAAGTGACCCTGCGACAATAGAGGCAGCAGCTCCTCTTCCCAGCTTGCGTCACCCTGGAGTATTTGCAAGCACAAGCAGAGGCTTTCAGCTGTTTAGTGCGGTGGGACGCTACTGCACCACACTGAGCTCCTCAAAAGCACATCGTTAGGTGCAATGGAAATATGCCAATATCTGCAGTTTCCGTAAGAGAGAGAATTCATTATAACAGTATTCTTTCCAGGTCTTTCTCAGACCTTAGCCAGGACAAGCCCAAAGCAGGTGGCCAACGCGTAGCAGAACAAGAAAGCTCTCTTTCCATGGTCAGGCAACAGAGTCCAAGCCAGGACTAGTTCCCAATACCACCTTGTCCTCATTACTCCATGCTAAAGAGCCTAGCATCAATACTTTTACATCAATTGATATCCAAAGAAAAAAGAAAACAATGCAGGAAATGAACTATCAGTCAACTCAAAACTAAGCAGCTAATTGCAGTGCTCTGACCAAACAGGACATTTCAATGGCTCCATTCCACACTCACAGGTCTTTTTGTCGTTTCTGGATTTGAGCACGTGCTTTCAGATCCTCCTCCTCTTGCAGTTGCTTGGCCACCTGCAAGTCATGTTGCACTAGACGATTACGCTGAACATTTGTTGCCAGGTGATGCTCAACTGGAAAGAAACACAGACAGGAATTGCAAAAATCAACCTATAGAAGTTAATGGTAGGAAGAAGACAAAGCAAGTGAGAGGGAGATCCGAGCTGGAAAGGAAGATACAGTTTTCAGTAGGGAAATGCCATGCAACTTCTCTAGAAGTGGGAAAGTTCTGAACCGAAACTGCGCTAGCAGCTTGAGATTGCATTGTTTCAACACTGAGGGGGCTGCGTATAAGCAACTATTGCTAAAATAAAATCTGCATATCTTAATCACATCCAGATGTATAAGGAATGTTTCTTAGGCCTTATATTTCATTTTCAGGCCACAGAGAATTATCCTAGATTAACAAAGTGGGGGTGGAAAGGACCACCAGAGGCCACTGAGGATGAGCTGAACCTAAACCGTTGCTGAGGGATCTTTCCCCTCCAGGGATGGAGCTTCTCTCCCCCTCCACATAATCAATTCCAGAATTTCACCACCTTTATATTTAGCAGCAGAGCAATTCAATACTACAGAAAGTCCTTTTCCATACATGGATACTGCCTGCAAGGAAACATAGCTACAACAGCTGCAGCCAAAAGCCAGCTTTAATTCAGTTGTCTCAAGTTCTAGCAGCAAGGATAACTTCAGCACAAGTTGCGTCTCAGTGGAGTAGCTAGAACGGTATTAGCACCTTGTACCAGTAGATACCATTGGTCTTGGCACCCAGCTAAGCAGATTAGAGAGGCCACCACACCTCAAACTGCAAAGCAAACATACACCAAGTAACAGATAAGCATGTAAAAAAAATCATCAGTTGCTTTTGAAAGTCTTGACTATGCTTTATTTTATCCTCGTAGTGAGCAGCTGCCCTATGTCAAAACGTCTTGAAATGTCTCCTTTCAAAAGGCAAGCACTAGTGATTCTGAAATAAAGTAAACAAAAAAAAGTAAACAAACAGGCTTCTTTTGATTGCACCTCAGGTTGGCCTATAAAACCTGAAGCTTTCAAAACTGTTAGTCATTTCTAAAATCTTTGCACAGTAATGAAACCTCAACTCCACTCCCACATGCCTAAACAAAATAAACTCTAAAAGAGATTACAAAATTGAATCACTGAAATGCAACCGTCTCTAGTGTGCAATGTGAGCTGGAGCAGAACGCGTAATAGGACAGTGAAGACAGGAATAGTAAACCCTATCTCATTAAAAAGAATAAAATGAAATAAAATAAAAGCAGGGAGGATTTTTCCTAGCAAAATCAAACAAAAATAAATATCTAGTGGGACAAGTTTGCTTCGATTTGCCCCGAAGAACATTGCTACTTACTCTCTTGTTCCTGTAGGTTATGGGCCAAGGTATGATCTTCCAGAACAGCAAAGTCTCGACACACTGTACGTAGAAACAAAGCCAAGAGAATTAAGATCAGAAACAAAACAGCATCAAGAGATATCGGGGTGAGGGGGACATACACACAAATAAACCTGATGCTTGCTTTCCATTTGCTGAGGCCTAGGCTCATGCTTTTTCCCGTCCTGCACTCACAGTGATTTTCGCATGCACTTACTTTTTTGGCCCCGTTTACATAACAAGCCTTCTCCACTCTTCCCTCCACCTCAGGTTCTTCAGTTTAAGGCCAAAAGTGCCCATGACAGCTGCATTGCACCTTCTGTACAACACTCTGTATTCACATCTTTAGTGTGGTCAGCTAAAACCCACCATTCGTGCCTTAATCATCACTGAAATTAGCATGGCTTCTCATTCTAGCCACTAGCTCTTACTATGACTTTCTCTGCCAGGTTAGAGTCTAACAATAGTGTTTTCGCCACACAAAGGTGCGTGTGCACTATGAGTAGGTGTCCCCTACAGCTCCTTTCTGAGAAACAGAGTAGACCAAGTGCCACGTCTCTTGCTGCAAGACAAGAGGTTGTGTCAGCAACCATTTTACAATAGTTCCCTCTGCCTCCTGCAAAGCTTCATCGGCTCTTTAAAGTGTAAATGCTGGATGCAAACCAAGAACCCTTCCGTTGCTCTTCTGACCATTGATGCTCTCTCCTCATGCTTGCTGGGAGCCAGTACCCAGGGACTGCATCTCTTTTTTGCTCCACACAGCACTGGCAACTCCTGCTGCTGGGCTGTGTATTCTTTATAGTCTTGTCAGAGCCACTGCTCTCAATGACACAGACCTCCAGTGTGGCCTGTGCTCCTCATGCCAAGCTATGTGAGAATGCCTTCTCACATTTGTCTCTGTTGGAGCATGTTTCATTTGAAGTGACCAAGTTAGTAAGCAGTACAGATGGCTGTGCAAACATGCCCCACCATTAGTGTTATAAGCTCCCCCAGCTTTTGGGTCATTACAAATTCCTAGCAACATCTTTACGTGTACTCTGAAGAAGGATGAAAGTCTCAAATAGCACTGGGACCAGCACCAATTGCTGTGGCATCATATCAGAAACATCTCTTAACCTGTATGACATATCCTTACTGGTAATGCACGCAGACTGCACACAAGTTTCTAATGCAGAAAGTTAGACCACAGCAATTTGAATAGCTTAAATATAATTTACTGATGTAACAAAACGTTGTAATAGGTAAAACTAGTAACCTGAATTTGGGTCTGTTTGGAACAGCCCACATTCCAAGGAATTACCTTATCTGACAACATTGCATTTCTGTGCCGTAACTAAATCCTCCAGCAGCTTTCCCAGGGTTTTACCATTGTTCCCAGGACTGCTCTTCCCCAACAAAAGAGTTTGAAAAAAGTCTAAAGGCAACTCCAGAACAAGCAAGCCACAAAACTAAGGTTGGGGGTTGGTGGGGGCGGGTAGCCTTAACGCTCACTTAGCGGCTAAGAGCTCTGAAGACCCACAGAATCAAAGGAAAGCTCCTATTTAAGGAGATAGGCCCAAACCTGACATGGAACCACAGGAGAAAGATGGTCCCTCTCCAGCCCTAAGATAGGGCTGAATGGATATTACTAGTCCAGTACAAGAAGCTGTAACGTTTACTTTCTAATTCTGAAATGTGAGGGATCAATCTTTAGACTTATCTTGAGAACTAAAAAAAGGTTTTTTTTCCTTTAACTAAATGAATAAATAAATACAAAAAAAAATAGTACTGCATTGTTAGCTCTTTACAGAATCCTGGGAGGGTAGAAAAGTCACACTTTGCTCTCAAAGTGTCCTACTCCACCTCTCAGCAGCTAGAGGTTAAAGGAGATGCAGCCTTCCCTATCTGTAGGTGCAACCAGAGAATCTTTTACCAAAAGAGCCTGTTTTGTTCATGAATACGGTTGAACAAAGCTTTTCACAGCATGGTCAGCAGCATCAAGTTCATAAAAGGATTTTTTTTGAAGATGTCATCCTGGTATTCCTACAGTGAAGCATTTCAAGCGTAGACATCACCAAAGGAGATTTCACACATCTCCTACACAACACAGCTAAAATGCAGCCTTCCTTAAAGAAAAGTTGTATTTTTATATAATTCCATTTCCTCACTAATGTTCAAGGTAGTCCAAGGGCTATCAAAACATTTTCAATGCAAAGGCTGTTTCTTGGTCAATTAAGGGACTTCAGAGAGGAAAAAAAAAAAAATCCAGGGAAAACATTAAATTTTTGACCTAAGATTTGGTTGTTGAGATTAAAAAAAAAAAATTCCATGGAAATTGTTGGTGGAAACATGCTTTTCCCACCTTGCTTATTCCTTTCTCGGTGAAAATTGTTTTCCGTACAGCTGTTCTCAGTCCCTAGAAGAACTGGACCTGGAGAAGCCAAAGCAAGCTGCTCAACAAATATGGAATCAGCCCTTAGCATTCCCAGCAGGGATAAGCACAGTTTCTTAAAAAGACACACGAAAAATGACCTAGAGAAAAAACTAAACAAGAATGGGATGAGCTCCCTTTGGCGCTATAGTCTGCAAGAGGCATATTTTTGCAAGTGCCTATCACTTTCACACTTGAAATGTGTGCACTACAGTAATACGATCCCTTAGTGACTCACTTTAAGCATGTACAATTCTGGATGGTGCAATTAAGGATGCTCTATCCACACTGTAGGAAAACACAAGGGCTTATTTTTAACTAGTTATGATAGGCACTGGGGTAATAAAACACAAGAGTCATACCCATAATGGAACAAAGACACACACAGCATCCATTCAGTCTTTCACCAGTATATACACATCAGCTTCTCAGTGAACTGAGAATAAACTGTGACCTGTGCCCTGAATCAGCAACACAGGGCCCCTCTCAGCACATCTGCCATACGCTGCGTTCCTGTCTCGTTCAATGGGAATTTAAGGCAGGAGCACTGAAATACCGAGAATAGAGAACTCTATCACTGTTTTTTCCTGAATATGATAAACTAAACTGCTTAGTGGGACCCAAGAGAGGAGTATGTCCTGTTCGAAAGGTATGGCACAAAGCAGAGTCACAACATGCTTTCGAAGCTGCAAGCAGGCGTGCGAACCACTTCTGTTTCACTCCGAGGCGGCCACCTCTGGGGAAGACCAAGGTTTCTCTTTAGCAAAGCAGAGCAACAGCCTAGAAAAGAAAGTGAAAACACCAAAAATCCCCAGAATATACTAAAAGTACAAGGGGAATTTATGAGGAACCCATTTATGAAAGTGTTCAGAGTTTGAGAAGACACAACATTTCCATCATGGCAAAGCACAGAAAACACTACAAAGAAACGAGAACACAGCCACTCACCAAGCCCCGATCCCCAAAGCCTTCCCTCTTCTCCCATTGATGCACATACATAGAAGAGCATCAAGATGTTCCTCTGCACCCCAGCACCTTCAGTAAATATCTAGAGGAGTTTCTAACTGTGTATATTAAGAGGTCAGATAAATGTTTTATTATATTCAACAGAATTTTTGGTTTTGCCTGGCTGCATTGGAGGTGTGTTTTTACAGGTGATAAAAGGAAGACAGGACTCCTGCTTCAAGTGACTACTACCAGCCCTCACTTCAGGTCCAAAGCAAGGCTTTAGAGAAGGAGAGGAACAAGCAGGAGGGTGGAGATGAGGACAAAGACTACAGTAATACGATCCCTTAGCGACTCACTTTAAGCATGTACAATTCTGGATGGTGCAATTAAGGTTTTGTTGTTGCTTTTTTTTATTGCAGCTCCCTTTAAAAAAGGAAAGAGGACACAAAACACTAAATAGCATTGAAACACTTCCAGTGGGCATTTGAGTATAAATAAAGAAAACGCTTCCTTCAGCTACAGGACCGAAAAAACCACAGCCGAGTTTCGGGAGCGGTGCTGTTTGCCCATGCGTGTCACATAGGGGTGCCTGGTGTTCAGACACACACAGTTTTATGGAATTGGAGAGAAGGGGGGAAATCTTGTCCAGATAAACTTTACTATTGTAGTCCCCAATACTTAAATCCACAGGATGTTTATGAAACAATCACCTGCCTCTGCTCACATCAGCATCATCCCACCTGCTGCTGGGAGGGCACTCAGTCAAGAGGGTCTGAGGTTCAAGCCCTGGCTAACAGCTGAGCAAAGATAGCACAATATAAAACCACAGAGAGTCAGCCCCAATCCAGTGTTGTGCTTTTACCATATCTTCCAGAAGCAACACTGGCTCCTGACAGTTAAAAAGAACTAAGGAAAAAAAAGTGCTATTTTTAACTGTAATAGTTCCCTGATGAAGTTCATTGCACAGCTGCCCAAACAACAGCTGTACTAGCAACACAAGGGGTGGGGGTGCAGTACAGAGGTAAGGTTGAACGTTTGAGATCTGCATATTTAAAGACCGCTGCTGGAAGAAATGCTGATGAAACCGCATCCCAGCCCTTCCCTAGTTTTTTTCCACACAGGCTCATGCACTGCTCTGGTCCCGACAGTATTTGAGAGTAATAACGTTGATGGCACCAGCAGACGCTGGCTCCATCCTCCCTTCCCCAGACAGAGGCACACGTATAGAGAGGAACTTTAGGGGTTCTTTGGCACTTTCTACCTACTTGGGGGGGGGGGGGGGAGTGATGGCAAAAAAAATATGCATGGTGTGCAGACGAGGAAGTGGGAGGGCTATGGTGGAACATAAACACTCTTCTATCTACAGTCTTGCACCAGCCCCAGAAAAGTCTCATCTCCTACACTGAGCTTCATCCCTAGATATACAGCACTGATTTTTAACTCTTTTTGATTCATAAGTTGCTACAAATTTTGCAGAGAAAGCATGGAAAAGTGCATATGCTTGTTTTATTGCATAGATGGGTTTGCTTCATCTAGTTGTTCCTTCAGACACCTATTAGAAATAGTACCTGGGTCCCCAGGATTAAAAAAACCCTTCCCAAAAAATAGGGAAAGCACACCCTTCTGGTCCTCACAGCCTATGGACCAGAGCTGAAAGCCACGGGATGCTGGAGACACAAGGCAGGGATGGTTGTTCCTGCCTCAGCTGTTTCGGCTTTTCAGGCCATTCTATGTCACTTGGAGGGCAGTGCCTGAGCCAGGCAGCACACACAGCCCAGGGTACCACCACATGCATTTCCCAACTCACGCTCTGAAGCAGCCTGTTGCACTATCTCAGATACAGTACCACCCTCAACACAGCTGTGTGGCACGCAGACAGGAGGTAGCACCCACTCACCGCCTGCCCTATCTGCATGCACCCCCCAGGGGCAAGCAGGGATGAAGAGAGTTTGTCTGCGTGGACAAAGCCTTGGGACAAGCCACTGCTGGGCAGGGCTGGAATATGAATTCAAAAGCTGTATCTTGAACCTGTGATGATTATCCTACAAAGATCCAGTACAGAAGGAGGGAAAACTGGATGGGTATTTGTGATGCACTTGCTGCAGAGCGGAGGCAGAAGTTAGGATCCCAGGTGCTGGGGTTCAATCATCACAAGCAGTTCCTAGAGGAAACAGTGCAGAGCAGGCTTCTGGGGCAGCAGCAAGCCTTGTAGCTGCTCACACATTTGGGCCCATTTGCGTGTTGCTGAAGAAGCCACTTGGCTGTGCACACACTGTGTTCAGCCGTTCTTCTAAGCCTATTAACGGACAGCTTGAGCACACAGCTCTTGCTTTGTGCTGCTGAAGCCTCTGGCAGAACATGAGGCACGAGAAGACCTTTCATCATCGTCAGAAACTTGGCTGGGCTGGCTGCCTCTAGCTCGTTTGAGCACATTATTCCTGAGTCTTGTCAGCGTGAGAACAACATGCAAAGGAAGATGAGAACATCCTCTTCTGAACCCAATGAAGGGCTGTGTGACCGCCAGGTGGCAAGAGATGGGAGACACCTGCAACTCCCTGGCAAGCTTGGGGGCCACGGCAAAGGCAGAATCCTCCCTCAAGATCAGACCCTGTGCTTGTGGCATTGAGTCAAGCATGACTGCAAGTGCAAATGAGGCCAAGAAAACCAGCCCTTTCTCAAAGGCATGCATCCAACAGTGAGGTAAATACAAAATAACTGGAGATATGCACCATTTCAGACCATGCCTGGCCTTCTGAAAATAGGCTTCATCTCTCCTAGTCCTCATCACCCCAGCATACTCACTACTCACAGATATTATTTGCACAGAGTTTGTGCTGGGAAATAGGATGGCCCTAAAGACAATGGAGAAATTCAAAATTTCTCTTCTGCAAGAGCCTTCATGTTCAGGGAGAAAAAGAAATCAATATCCTTATTTCCTGATTGTGTGTCTACGAAATGAAAGATAAGATTAATGCACGTTCACTGCCATAAATTGACCTGACTTCACATCTCTGAGCCCTGGCGGTGAGCCATCAGATGGTCACACAGCAGCAGGGGTGCAATCAGAGAAGCTACAATTGGCAAGTCCAACGAAGCATAAAAAAATAACAACAGGTTTACCAGAGTCTGATTAAGGCAATCTGTCTTGCCACAACAGGGAGTGGGCCTGGGATATGCACTTCCGGCACAGCTGTGAGAGTGAAGAAAAAAAGAAAAAAAAAAAAAAAAGAAACCACACAATCCAACAACACAGCCACTTCCACAGCTAACAGAAGCGCCAGCAGGGGTAGAGACCCTCAGGAGCACAGCTGGAAGCATCACCCTTTGCAGCAGTGGCATGCTGGAAAATCCTCAAAATGGCATGAAAGAGGGATCCAGAGGAGAGCTACTCCTTAGGCTCCTAACATAGGTTTCTGTGCTGGTGGGAATTAACTCTGAAAGCATGCCTTCCTAAGTAGTGCTGAAGCAATGCCCTGCATTTGGGGCTCCTGCAAGTATGGTTCCAAGCCCTGCCATTATGGCTGAGATATGAATGTCTCTAGGTGCAATTACTTGCCAAAAAAGAAAACAACAAAAAAACACTTTCCTTTATACATTCGGCCATCTGCCTCACTAGCTTCCTCCAGCATTACCTCAGCTTCATAGCTCAGCATTTCTAACACTGAGCCACTTTGAAGCAAATGAGGTAACCACAACAGAGAAGCAGAGGCAGCCTTACATGTTGCTAGTATTATTTACATGTGCAACAAAGCAGATAAAGTAGCGTCCAGGAAGAAGTTGTGTGAATATGTACTGCCTCTGCAAAAAGTCAAATGCCACTGACTTCTCAAGTGACAGCTGGCTTACAGGAAAACACACACAGCAGAGCAGCCTCCGAGCTATACACAATGCACTTCTTCCATGAACTCTTAACCATGTTTTGACATCAGCCCAAGGGCTCTCTTGATTTGCACTGCCTTTCTGACTTGCTCTGGGACACTGGCCAGTTCAAGACCCAGAACTACAAACGCGTGTCCCAGACAATTCCTTGGGCTTTAAAAACCATCTCTTGGTCCCCACCAGCCCTGCACTCCCAGTGTTTCATCAGCATCATGTGCTGGCTAATTGACAAAATAAACTAGAAGGTGT